TATCAGTCACACTACCATTATATGAAAATACATTCAACTTATTATAATAAAAAAGCATCAGTTAGAATGTTTTCATATGGGCCATTTTTTGCATTTTCTGGTTGTACAAGGGCTCCTCCCACACAGCACAGAAAATGATTACACATAACAGGAACTTTTGTTACAGGAGCTGCCTAATGATTTCACGAATACATACTAGCATGCATGCTAGCTCCAGCCCCCTAAGCAATCTCATGCTCTCCCGCTTACAGAAACGCTCTTGTTATGTGGAACTGAAATATTTCTAAATTTACAAGGAAGAGACTGAGAATTTCCATGTTCGAATGCTCCCTCAGGCTTTTTTTTTTTCCTATTTCAGTAAGGAAAGGATCCTGCTTTCAGGTGTGTGTTGTGTTTGTTTGTATTTCCAGGGGTGTTATTAGCAACGATGCCATTGACCACAGTGTCCCGTGTACAAGTAAGGTGGCTACGGACTTTCTTCTGAGCTCTCTAATGGACATATCTTTTTTCCAAGTTGCACTTACCAGGACACGGTTTAATATCTAGAAGCATTTTTTTCCTTCTAAAAAATCTTAGTATGGAAGCAATACTTGAGATCTCTACACACTGCAGTTCTGTAACCAGTTTTGATGGAGAAAGCTTTAACCAAGGAAAAATTCTAAAATGAAGCAATCAAAGAAATAAAATTTCCACAAATGTAAATTAAAAAAGTAAAAAATGAAAAAATCTGTAAATTACAGCACTAAATATGAAATATGAATAATTTAAATATGAAAAACTTGTGAACTCTAGGACAGCGTATTTATCTTTTAGCAGATATGAAAATAGACAAGAGATGAGTAACCCCAAAATATGGGCGTTATTCTTCATTACATTCAACTGTTATTAATATCTGCAGCATTCATTGAGATTTTCCTCTATGAATAAAGAAACCAGAATAGTAGTCTCAATGTTTAATTTATTTTGTACTTAGAAATTAATTTCCTGTCAGCCTTTTTGTTTCTTCAAAATGCTTCAAACCTGATTCACATCATATAAAAGCCTCTGACAACCTGGGCAGGTTTTCAGAGGACTTACAAAACTTTAGTATTAGCCTGGTAGCAATTTGCACTTTCTTACAATTCCTTGTCATTTTTTAAGCTCTGAACTAAGAGTGAAATGAAGGTGTCCTCTTTTTTTCATTTTGTGTCAGTTTTTCCATATATTCCAGTTTTTTAACACAGGTATCTTTTACTGCATACAGTGTATATTAGTGACTTCACTAATAAGAAGAGGGCGATTCTGCCGTAATTAAAAAATTATACAATAGAAGTATGTAGCTGTTTTGATACATGAGCAATTATATTTTAAAGGACTGCATTAGTCTTTAAATACGTATGGTAAAGTTTCTATTGTGGCACTTCTAACATGCTGAACTTCAAAAGTATCTCTGCATCTTCTTTCTGCAATGCATTTTCAAGGCAGTCATTGCCTAGGGGAACTAGAGCTCCCAAGGGCACCAATCAACATTTGGTAGGCTGCTGTGCTTGCATGGTGTCCCACTGAAATCAGTGGGATATCAAACAACAATATCAATCCAGCAACATGTAAGAAATCACTAAATGAGTGCCTAAAAACAGACAAAGAAGTGAGATAATATGCTAGAATTAAAATAGAGAATTGCAATTATGTTTTTCAGCGGCGGACTTTTAAGGTATGAGAAACCTGCTGAAAAATATCCACAACTGAAAATACATTATGTTCATTACCTTGATTATATGTACCTACTTTGGAATTTATCTGACAGAGAAAAGCAATTTAGATCTTTCAACAAGGACAAAATGTGAAATAGGATTTCTGCAGCTTAGCTTAATTCATCAGCCTTCTAAGTTGCAAAAATAGAGCAACAAACGCAGAGTCAAAATCACAATTTTAATGACAGACTTATCCTTACTGAAAATGTTACTGAGGTTGTATATTCCACAAAGACATAATCTGTCTTTGCATAATATACGCAGGGTACAGGAAAAAAAAAAAAAAAAAAGAAGTTTCACCTTACAGCAAGACTGTTTACCCAAATGAAAGGAACTACCAAAGAAACAAAAACTTAAGGCAAAGCCAAAGGGAGAACAGGTATCCCATTGTGCTGCACTGAACTCTTTCTTCTTTTTCTGCTTGATACCATAAGACCCGTGCAACATCTGAAATAACTTCAATAATAATGTTAGTTCCTATGTACAGTTCTTTACTCTAAAGACTGACCTGTGATTCTATTCTCCCTCAACATTAGTTATTAGCAGAGTTATCATTTTAATTCCAGAAACAGAAGGCCATGCTGGCACAGCTGAATCAAAGTTTCCCTAGTATACATTGCCAGAGACAACTACAATAAAGGAGCATCATTTCCACCCAATCTGCTCAAACACTACTATATCCCCCTGTTATCTGCTCTTTACAGCTTTAGGTACAAAACATTAAAAAACAAACATAAAGCAGATGGAGACAGCTCAGAGGACAGCAGTATGAATGGCGACACATACAAAAATATGGCCCATAGACTCTGAGAATTCAAGTCTTCCTAGTCATGAACAAACAAGACTGAATCTCAATTTTCTCATAGATATACATAATATATGCACATATATTAAAAATTGTATATCTAGATATTTTGTATATGCACATAAACTTACGTATATACGTACATAAAGAAAGAACAAAGAGAATGGAAACAAGCTGCTGTCCATGTTTAATGTAAGATAAGAAGTACGAGATTAAATCACAACGAAGATGACATAGGAATTTTCCAGTAGCAGAAATCATTCATCAGTTCACAGAAATCAATTGCCTATGAGAATTGTGAACTTCTGTTGCTAGATGTATTCCACCCTAATTTTTCTTTTTTTTCCAAGAATTAATTAAATAAAAATATTCAAGGAATGGTTCAAGAACAGCTGATCTCATGCTGTAGGGAGCAACTGGACAGATTGGTCTCATTTCAATCTTTTTTTTTTTTTTTTTCCTAATATATCACCTTTTTTGAATACTAATTTTCATGTAAATTAAATTTCAGCTTCCTTTTTTTTTCTTCTTTTTTTTATTTGCATTAATAAGAACTAAATCCAGCATTGCACTCCAACAAAATATGGCATGTATTACATTTTAAAAGTCCTATTCCTGAGAGACTCTTTTATAAGTAAAATGAATAAGAAAATGAACAAGAAAATGAACAAGGGAGTTGCAGAGCATTCTGAAGAGCTATTTGAAAATATTTATAACCTGTTCATTAAACTTGTCAAAACAGGGTGTAGCACAGATAATGACTTCAAAACACTTCAAGTACAATCAGCAATGCCTTAACAAGACAAAACTAGACTTTAAAAAATACCCACATTAAAGAAAACCTAAAACTTCGTATCAAGCATCAGACACTCAATATGTGTACTACGTGGTTTTTGTTTGTTTTTTTTTAATATGATAGCTTTGTCCATTTTTGGTTGAGATTGTTTTGACAGAAAAACTGAAAGCACTGAGCAGTAACTAGTGACTATTAGACAATTCAGATCTATTAAGTCCTATTTGCATTTGCACTCATTATTTATATGTAAGCTCCATCTTGCAGGAAATTCTTTTTATTATTATTACCACAGTGATAAACTATTTTTTTTTAAAATCTCTGCATCTTAAGTGGAATTATAAAATGTAATTTTGCAAAATTCATATTCTTCATAAAACTGATAGGTTTCCACCATAAACTTATTGTCATGATTCCAGTACACGAATGTACACACATACAAATACTTTGCTAGCTGCAGGATGTAAATACTAATCAAAAGAGTGAAATTCACTACTGAAACAGCCAAATCCACCTTTTCCTTGGGCAGAGGCCTTATGCCTGGAGAACATATGAAAGCTGAGCTCGAAGAGGTAATTCTTAATGCGACTCAGAAAAAAATGCCATTACTGGGGCTGCAGAAACTCTGCTGCGGAGCTGGTAATCACTCACTGGTTAAAAATAAGCACTGAAGGGAAAATGTGTATTATGTTAGAAAAAAGAAAAAACAATCTTAAAGATGTCTACAAGTACAAAATATTTCATCATCTCTTTTTCATCAGTGATGATTACGCAGCAGATTTTTGCTCTAATCTATAGGATCCTTAATTCACATTCAGAAACATAAATGGCTCTTAATTTGCTGATATAGACAGAAAGCTCCCATAGCCTTAAAAAGACAGAAGTGCTTAAATGGAAAATAAATCAAAACCATAAAATTGTGACTTCAAAATTTCTAATTATGATATTCCCTAAAAACATTTAACCTCCAAAACCAGCATGCTTAGATTATTTTCAGTCATGATCTCTTCTTGGAAAATAGCATCTACAGAAAATGGTCATAAAAAACAACACATTTACTTCATTAAATGTAATCCTTTTTTTAAAATGAATGGTACAAGTCCAGAAAGGAAGAGACTACGATCATCGGCCAAACTATTATTAAATTCTACACTAATTAATTCTGCATTATATTCTATACTCTGAAGACAATATTTAAATTAAGTAAACTGGAGTAGAGAAAACAATTAACGCTCTAACCATCAATAAGATTTTTAATTGCATTGAGCCAATTTTATTTTTGGCCTACACGATAGACAGAATATTCCAAAATTTCAGTAGACTGCAAGTCTACAGATTTGTTTTTTTCAGCAAGCAGCTCTCAAGACAAGAAAAAGTGACTGATTGCAATTAACCACCCTGAAAACGAAGTAACCATGGTCCAAAAGCTTACCTGTATTTCTAAATTAATCCCAGACATCATGTATCACTGCCAAAGTTCTGTCATAGCTAGAAATGTAAATCCTGTATAACTAGGAGCAAAATCTGACATTTTTTGAAGGTTTCAAATCAAGGTAACTTCCACTTATTCCCTCACTCCCACAAAAACAAATAAAAACCAACAAAGCCCGGTAAATATAATTGTATGGAATTCTGATAATGACCTGTTTTGGTATCAGTTTCCACTTACTTTGGGTTACAATTTCCTGTTGGTTTCATATGGCAAAACAGTCTGGAAAACAAAAATAAATAATTTTATTTAAGAGAGAATTGCTGGAGATGGCATATAGTTATCTAAGCAGTTTTAGCTGACTTGAATTTCAACAGGTGACATCTTCAGACAGAATTACACAGAAATGCATTGTTTAACAGCTGTATTAAATAAATTTGACTTTTTCTGCAAAGACTGTCTGTTCATTTATGGTAAATACAGTATCACAGGTATATATCTTAAAAACACCCAAGAATTGGATGATCTGGAAGCAATGAGACCAGCAGCACGTAAGCTTTTTGCACCTTTGTGTAAATCTCTATCTCCTTGAAATGTTCAGACTGCTACCTTCAAAGCTACTAACAGGATGTTGCAAAACCAGGAGGCATGAAGTGCATTTTCTGATATACAGCAGCGCTTCTTACAGTACTTTAACTCTGAGAAGTTTTCAGAGATTTGCAAGACTCATCCAGAGAAAATATTTCTGTAGTGAAAGGATACATGAGAAAACTCACAAGATTGGCAGCTGTATGAACAAATGACTTAGCAGACTGCATCAGATGTGAATCCGTAGGAGACCTATATGATGAAAAGGACAGCTTCTCCACAAGTAAGCTCAGTTATTTATTCACTGTGATAAGTTGGTTCACTCTTAATGTACCTTTTTATTGTAGCACCAGGAACTACACTACATATACTACAGAAGTAGCATGGTATATCATAGATACTTCTCAAGAATAAGCTATGAAAATATCTATCAGATGTCCCTCAGATACCAGATATCTATTCACGCTCCCTATGGACTAACACCAGCCAGTAACATCAGCCAGCAAAGCCATATAGAAAAGAGAAAGAATCCAGGTTCCAACACATTTTGAGAAGTGCAGGTGTAAAACTGAAGTCTGTATCTCTTACAATTCACTATCAAACTTCCTAATAACAGAAGTTTCCAAGGTTAGCCAGACATATATTTTGTCTTCAGATTAATAAAGTACTTCTTTTTGCTTTCTACAGGAATGTAAAATAAAGCAATGCTAAATGTGTACCTCCAATGTTTTCATCTTTTATGTTTTTAAGCAGAATTGGCTTTCTTATTGGAGTATGAAGAAATGAAAGTATGTTTATTACTCCTTTGTGCATGGAAATTCTTTAAAATTGGTTGCCCAATTCTGACTATGAAGGATGAAAATTGCTAGAGCACAAAGGAACTAATAATGAGTTCTCTGAAGTTAAACACGCAGTGGGGCACAGATGCAGGCTCTGCAAGCTACCAAAAAAGAAAAAAAAAAAAAGAAAAGAAAAAAGAAAAAGAAATTAATCTAGACAGTAGATGCTTGTTGAATTTCTCCACCATCATCAACTGCTTACTGTCATGTTACATTATCAATAAATGAAAGATTTAAAAGGTTTCAACATTTACTAAACTCCTAATTGGAATCACAGATACTGAGATCTGAGACTACGTCAAGTCATTTTCACTGATAAGCAAGCTCATCATAACATCGTCAAAGAAGCTATTCAATAAATATGCATGAGTAGTTGTTCAAGCAGAAAGCTGTTACTTGCCTCTCCATAAGAGTAAAAAGTTTGGAATATTTTCTTCAGACATAGATGTATCTAAATGAATTGATTTGGAAGTAAGTTGTCTGATCTGAAGCTGTTCTGAACTGTAAAGATTGATGCAAAACAAGAAAGAAAAAAAAAAAAGAATTAGGAAAACATTTTGAAGCGGATATGTTCCACAAATTCAATGAAATGGAAAAAATAGGGCAGTGTATAAGAATCTATAGCATGTCTATTCACCATTTTCAATAATGTTCACTGAGAAACCCAGCGCAGAAATTTTCTGACAGAGAAAGAAATAGAGGTTTATGTTCCTGTCTGAGAGCTTACAAAGTCCAACAGGAAAAGTGACTGTACTGGATTTGTGTTATAACAGGGAATAACTTGTAGTTTTCACTACATTTTTCAAACAAACATGAAAAAAGCTCCCCTACATGTAATTGGTCCTAACATCTAGGATTATCAGTTCAGCTTGAACCATATTTAGGAATCAAAGCATATGAATACCCTCATCATACAAAAAATTATCAGGGACATCTAAAGTTATAAATCTTTGTGAATAATTACAGCTCATTAGTTTGTTTTCAGGTAGTAGTTTAAGATCCTGGAATTGGGATCTGCTAAGAGCCCAATGGGTGATTGCCAATTTATTTTGCTATTTATCATTCAAACACAAATTTCATTCTTTCCTAAAGTAAAGCACAAAGAATCAAAAGCAGGATTCAAAAAACGAAATGAAGAAAGGAATTTGGCATTATTTCACAGTTATGCTCTTGTGCTGCTCTCTTTATCTGGGATTCTGTGCTCAGAAGTGGGAGGGTAAACAGGTGTTTTGCAGGCAGTGCAGATGAGACAAAATGTTAAGTATGCCATCAGGGGATGGGGTGACTTCAGACCCATAAGATAAAGACTGAAATACTCCTGGTAAAATAAACAGCAAATTCTGAGCTTCTAGATCTATATAGCAACCCAGAGGCAAACCTGTAATTTGTTAGTTGAAGAACAGACTCTTCTAAAAGGAAACACCTTATCCTCTATGTAATTTTCAAGCTGTCAAATATAATCTTATGATTTTATTGCCCCTGAAGTTGAAAATATCCTCAGGGAAAACATTAGCCTAAAAGCAAATTGAATTGCAGACATTTTAATTTTAATCTGCTTTACTCAATATAGCTTCCTCATTCAAATGACTTTTGGTTGTTTTGGAGCTACTCTGTGGTTGACCCTCAGGAATTGTGACAGGGTACAGATAGGTCTGAATCCTATTGCCTATCTGACCAGAAAAACTCAGTGGATACAATCTAACTTACCTAAAGCTTCCCAGTCTCCATTCCTATCTACTTCATGGAACTTATGGAATAGCAAGTCTAACAAACACAGCCTAGATCATTTTGTGTACATTTAGAGAGATAGCTGCTTTTTTATTTCCCACTGCCTTCAAGCAGTCAGAAGCTCTGTTTCTACAACTAGAAATTTCCACTTATTTAAAAAGTGAGAAAATAGCATAGGTAAGAAAATAGTAAAGAGGAATCCTCTCTCTCTGCAGTGAATATTACAGGTATTTCAGATCTGCAGCAGAGGAGAAATACTTCTGCAAGTACTTAAGTCGCGTCTGATTTATGAGACAAACACTTTTTTTCAGAGCAGCAGCATATCTGTTTTTGATAGATAATCTTGTAGGTAAGCATTCACAGGCATATAAAAAACATTCAAAATGTTTGGTACCAAAAAGAGTGCAAGTGTGCTAGAGGACACCTCTAGCCAGGCAAATAACCCTGCTGCTTTGATCCTCTTTGATCATGATCATGAATGAGAAGGGAAACAGGGGAACCTCTTAGCGCCTCCAAGTCTTACTTTCCCAGCTACACTACACGAGATCCAAAATGAAGCAGACCTCCTTTAAAAGCAGACTAACAAAGAGCAAGTAAGCTTGAAAATGGTCTTCTTTCACATACCAGATAGGATGTACCTACTAGAAAAGGCCTTCAGGTAATGAAGCTTGCTGATTCACAGCTACTGCACAATGACATCATTAAACAAGACACAGGCCATCTTCTTTTCTATTTGTTCATTTGGTCATACTTCTCCAAAATTATCAATCGAATAAAACGAACAAACAAAATTCAAACAACACACCACTCCTCTAAGTTCTCACAGGAAAAAAAAAACAAACAAAATCACTCAAAAAGATAATGGCTGTACTATGCTGCCTCTTTGAAGGGAGAGGAATGGCACTGCAGCGTTTTGGTTGGATGTTAAAAACAGTCATTTATTCTTCTGCTGTTACAGTAATCTGGATAAAATGAAAATAACTATTTCCTGTAAAGTGGAGATGGAAAAAGAAATAGCCGTGAGGAGGGACTGAGTTGTTGACAGTGAAGCTTCATTAATCTCCAAAGAATCAAGCATGTCTCTAGGTAAATTGTGGATAAATATTCCATAGTGGAACGAATAACTGCCTTTTGTTTACTTGGGCTCCAGCAGGTGCCAGGGGCTGCTTTTCCTTCTATCTTCCCTCTCTTCATAACTTTCAGTTTAGAAGACATTGGTGAGGCAGTTCAAGCATTCAGTGACAGATCAGCTTCAGTGCAAGCCTATGGACCATGGATTTTGATAAGAGACCAAATGATTCTTGCACTGAGAGACTCTATACAGTTCTTCCCTGACATTTTATTTCAGGAATATTACGTAAGGGAGATGAAAAGTGTGAGTACATTTTCATAAATACATTGAAAATACATAAGGACAAACACCAGGCCAGCGCAACAGCTACTGATGAGCATAAATAAAATATCTGGGAAGGAAATTGTGTTTTAGGGTCTGCCTGCCTGGGCAGATAGTGTATGCATGTAGTCTGGACAGGACAGCACTGAGACTATAATGTCAGACAGAAAGATGTGACAAGCTACAAACCAGAGCTGTGCTCTGCTGAACAATGCAATGAACAGTGCTTCAATACTTAAAAGGAGCTTATAAAGGGCAACCAACTTTTTACATGGTCTAATAGTGAAATACAAGAGGCTTTAAACTAAAAGAGGGGAGATCAGATATTAGGAGGAATTTTTTTTTTTTTTTTTTTTTTTTTTTAAACTCGGGGAGTGGTGATGCACTGGAACAGGTTTCCCAGAGAAACTGGATATCTTGTCTTTGGAGGCATTTTAGGCCTGGGCAGCCTGAGCTGGTGAGTGGCAGCCTTGCCCATGGCAAAGGGGTTGAAACTACATAATTCTTAAGTTCCCTTTCAACCCAATGCATTTTATGATTCAATGCCCCAACTTCCAATATTTGCTTGAGTTCTGTGCACCAGTAGCCATATTTTTACCATGATGAGCAAACACTCTCCAAGCTCAAACCCATGATCCTTTCGCATTTAGGTCTGCTTGCATGATTTAGTCAGAGATTAGTACTCTGACAAGTTACCCATGCAGAATCTGTTATTTTGGTCATACTTTCCACAT